ATAATAATAAAGGAAGAATGAATAAAATTATAAAGAAAATAATTAATTAAAAATATTAATATTCTAAATTAATAATTATGATATACATAGTGATCATCTGAATAATAATGTACTAAATCTAGATATATTAAATACATAATGATCATCTGTATATCCAAAGTGAAAATGATCTTTTTAAAAATGTAATATAAAGCTAATCTGTTATACAGATAACGCAAAATAAAGATCTAAGCTAAAAGAGATCTAAAGGAAGATAACCCAATCAAAATTATTACAACTAGTTATATTATTCTTTGTTTTAATTAATTAATATATATTTTATTAAGATCAAGTTGAATTAATTCTTGAAATAACAAGTATATAATTTGATTGATTTATATTGCTCCAATATATTTTGTGAGCAAATGAAATATATGAAATTATAATAAAAAATTAAATTGAAGAGGATGACAATAGGAATAATAATCTTGAGAGGATATTCTAATAGGATAATTAGGAATTTGATATATCTCAAGATAATAATTAATAGGTAATCTAATAAAAGAATAATAATTGATCATGAAAACTTAAAACACAAATATTTATCAATTATGGATAAAAAGAAAAGAAATATAAAAAGAATATAAGAGTATAAATATAATAAGAGGTATAGAGGGAGTTTTTTCTATAGAGAGGGCACCAAAAATATGTTATAGTGAATTGATAAATGAGATTTTACTTTAATTCACCTTAATAATATAGGGTTGGAAGAGACTGAAATAATTAAAGGATGAAGAGAAAAGAATTAGATTATAACTTTTAATAATAATAAAGATTTCTAAGATCTGTGCCAATATCTATGAATATTGTCTCAAAAAGGATATTAAAATAAAGAAAATAATAAATAAACTAAAAAAATTATAAAGATTAACTAAGTAAAGCCATTAGTAATCAATATAATTCAAGATTTGAATTGATTAAATAGCAAGTTACTAATTAAAGAAGACTATAACTAAAGTAAAGATAGAAATAAAATATGTAAATTAAATAACTAAATAATAAAAAGAGTATGGCTTATTTATAGTAGAGATCTTTTACTCTCAAAAATAATAAAATAAAAAGTATAGCTTATTTATAGTAAAGGTCTTCTACTCTTAAAATAATATCAAAAATAAAAAAATTAATATAATGTTATAATCCAAAAATCCAAAATCAACTTTATATGATCAAAGAAATAAAACCAAGTAAAAGAAAGAGTACTAGTATAATTTGAAAAGAAATCTTGTAAAAAGATTACTATTAATATGATAATAAGCTTTTAAATTATATTTTTCAAATAATTCAATCCAAAACTATTTATTTTAAGCTAGAATAACAGATCCTTTTATATATTTTTCAGATACAAAAATTATTATAATATTACTAGTTAATACTTACTAATATACAGAATATAATTAAAGTACTATAATATAAATAATTATAAATGGGTTATGTTGAAGTATATTGAAAGATGTCAAAGAATGTTGAAGAATGTTAGAGTATATAAAAGAATATTAAAAGATGTGAAAAGATGTAAGAAAATATGAAAATATATGAGAAGACATGGAAAAATATTGAAGAATGAGAAAAGACATTTGAGATTATTTTCTAAGTATAACTATTCTATTAAAATTAAAAATAATCTTCTACTATACTATTCTACTATATATATGAATATCATATTACAAGATAATAAAAATATAGATCCTGAATATTAAATGAAATATAATATTTAAAAATAAAAATGTGATAATAAATATAATAATATATAATATAGAAATAGGGATATTTATAAAATAAATAAAAAATATAAAAATATGCAATTTTGCATAACTGGAAAAAATTAAGGAATCAAGAAAGTTTATATCACTATAATAATAATAGATCTCAAATATAAAATAAAATATAATATTTAAAAATAGAAATATGATAATAAATATAATAATATATAATATAAAAATAGGAATATTTATAAAATAAATAAAAATTATAAGAAAATATAGTTTTATATAATCAAGAAAAGATTAGAGAATTAAAGAATTTTATATTATTATAATAATAATATCTTTAAAAAACTATTAATTATAAGTTAATGATAATTATAAAATATAATAATATAAATAAATAAGAAAAAGAACAAATAAAAATATAAATAAATAAGAAAAAGAATAAATAAAAATATAAAAAAATATTAATTATAAATCTAATTAAAAATATTAATAAATTAAATTTATAATTATAAAATATATAATAATTATTTGCATGATAATATATAAAATCTGATTAATTTACTATATAAATAATTATTTATATATTTAATATAGAATAAATGAAATTTTATTATTTAAAGTAATAAATCTTATTTTATATTATTTTAAAATAATATATATTACATGAAAAATATAATATGAATTACATTGCTTAATTTCAACTATAAAATCAAGAAGTTATAATATGAAAATATTTTACAAAAAATAAAATTAGTTTTTTAATTCAAAATAACAAATTTTATATATGAAATATTAGAAAATGCTTTTTATTCTTTTATAATAATTTAAAAACCAATTTACAATATATTTTTCAAGATGATAATATAAAGTAAGAATGATTAATAAAAAGAATTTGATATTAAATCTTTCATGATCTGTATAGAATCCAGATCTTAATCCAATTGAATATCTATTGAATGTTTTGAAAAGATAAATCTCATTCAAAAAATATTGTGAAATTAATAATAGTTTTGAAAAAGAAGTGAAGTAAAATTGAACCTGAAATTTTATCAAGAAGAATTCAAGCAATATTAGATAGTCATGAAAATCCAATTAGATATTTATAAAATTCATGTTTTTTCGAATAAAATGATATAAATCTTTTATGTTTGTTTAAGAAATTAATTGTTGAAGTTTGTGTATTTTTATCTGGTTTTAAAGTGGTCGGATACTTTTGACCGGGGAGTATACATGTATTATATAATTATACACACGTCACATCACTCTCACGTGAGTGTGAATTTTGATAAGGTCTTTTCGAAAAAATCTCTGTCACCATGAATCAACTTGACTTCGCTAAAAGAAAACCCCCAGGTTTCATTTTATATTCGGCATCACAAGATAAACAAGGGATCAACGCACAACAGGAATTACTTATTGAGTTTGGTATGGTGTACTTTTTACGTGATGTTGGCTAACTTGTGCTTTTTTCCTTCTTTCTGCATTCTCTTATTCCCTGTTTCCGTTCTGATGATAATCTACGGATTGTTTATCCATTTTTCATCTATTTCGCTTATTCATCCTCTTGTTTCATTTATCATCGTATATCGCTGTCTTATTTCTTTTTGTCAATACGCGTGCCACATCCGAAAAGACGAAAGGTAACCAGAGTTTATTAGTCATAATTGAGTCAGCGGGTACTCCTACCTAATTTGAGGTCATGATTCAATTTATATTTCGCACGAGATAAATGGAATTTACTGTATCTCTTGCAAAATTCATAACACGCTCCTGTCTATGATTGTTGCTTATGAAGAATTTTTCTTTCCCGATTGATCTTTGACACGCGCTCTTGATATTAATTCGTCATTTCACAGCCAAAAGAAGACGGACTCCCCGGACCAAAACCTTCATTATAACATGTCACGATCCAGCAAAGTCCTCAAATACTCTATGGGAGTACTTTCGCTACATTGCAATCTCCGGATAAGGCGAGACTCGTTGACGAGACGAGATTGCAGAATCGAATACAATTGTGATTGTGATCCGTTTTCGGAAGGAGGGCACATCCGGTTAACCAAATGGACATTTGTGAATGAGTTCGCATATTTGGTGATTTTAATTTGGATTGTTTTTCGCAATGATATATTATTAGAATCATCAATACATATTCTGTATCTATCAGAAATATCAAGTGACGTCAAAACCGTAGAACCCTTTTGGCAATCGACTGGTTTGTCTCGACATGGAAAAGGGTTTGCTAGGGGTTTCCCAGATAAAACCATAGTATAGTTATTATCGTATCTTTGAAATTTTCTTTAATTCGGCTTCCGTGCATTCTACGAAATATGTTTCCAGAAAAGCCTTTATTTGGACGCCGTTGTCTTTAGAAGAAAGGATTATTTGGACGCCGTTGTCTTTAGAAGAAAGGATTATTTAGATGCCGTTGCCTTTGAAAGAAAAGGATTATTTGGAATTTGTTACTCGTGTTTTTGTGTTGGTAGTTTGGTATGTCATATGTTTCTATTCCAAATGGAACATAACAAAATACTTTTTGTTGTATCTTGAGTAGCGTTGATCAATTTATTTTGAATTTGTTGGTTGATGGATTCGATAAAGCCACCCTTTCTCCAAAAGCCTATAAGGAAAGGATTAAGGCGTGGACGATTACAGAGCATAGTTCCAACACTGATATGTTGATTTTTCTTGTCGCGGAAGTTGCTGACAGTAAAATGGATTATAACTCAAAAGGAGATTGATTTTTAAAAAAAATATGGAATGAAAAAGTGTAACAAGCTAATAAAAATTTTAAGGAATAATGAATCGTCAAAGCAATATGACGAAAACAGAAATCTCTGTCTGCAAAGATTAAACATACTGAAATTATGAAAAAAGTTAAAGAAAATTTATACTACACATGACTGAATATCCTTGGAGGAAAGATAATTAAATTCCATGTAAAGGAATAAAATAACAATATTAATGTTTCAAGAATAAAAAATATACAATAGTATGATATTTGTAAGAAAAGGGTTAAAAGCACGAGTTCTATATTAATGATATCGATATGATTCTAAAAGGACAATCAAAGTGTTATTGTCATTTCGATTCGGAATAGTAGTAGTCGTATAATCAAAAGTTGTTCCATTAATGATCTCTTGCACACGATTATTTTGTTGTATATTGTGATGATTAGCTTGTCGCTGGTCTTGATCCATTATGTTAGGTAACGGGAAAATTTCTACTTGAAATATTATAGCCAAACGAAAAAAGAGAATCTCGTGGAAAGCTTTGATCGGAGTTTATATGCAATTTTTTTTGTTATCATTAATTGATTCTCCAGTTTGTGCTTCGTCCAGTATCATAAATTTATCTTTTTGTATGAGTACATGCGCGCGCGCGCGCGCGCGCTATGTATACATAACATAAATAGATACTTGCTATATGTTGATTATTGCATCTTACTAATCCATCTAATCTTTTTTGTTGTTCTGATCCGTCGTGTTTCATCTAAACTAAATGTTGTAGGACAATGTAATTTTGGCATCCGTTATCTTAAATTACATAGGACGTAAGAAGATAACAAAAGACCGAAACGAGAGTCTCTTTGACTAAAATTTATATCTCGTTAATGTAATTCCCCTGATCTGTGGAATAAACATCGGAAAAATCAACTTATAGGTATAATCGACGTGTTGACATCATCTGTCCATTCATAAACTCATCTATTCATCTGTCATCTACTCATTAATTCACCTAACCATATTCGTCCATTATACATGTAGTAGGTCCCCCAATTTAATAGATCCAGGCCTGTATTACACGTAGTAAAGAGGTAATCAATAAGATATTGTGTGAAAATTCGATTGGTTCATACAAGAGTCCTGGTGATTTATGCCGTAACTGACAAAGCGAGTGAAGTCGGACGTCTCAGTAAACTTTGCAATTCGTCATCTTTCATATACCCACTGGATGATGTAGGACAATGTAATCTTAAGAAACGCAAAACATTATGTTTCACAATTACGTATTAGATGTAGATGGTGCCACGATTCTGTTGTCTCGCTTTGTTGGATCTTGTAGAGGATTTGTGATTATGAAAATAAGCCGAATTTCAAAAGATATTATAAAAAACGAAAAGAATCTCGTTAAAACTTTCAACGAGAGTTTATATCTGTGGGATAAACATCAGATAAATTAATAAATTCATTGATGTTTTAATACCATTTACGTACAGATACATACATCAGTTTGTTGATTATCTTTCCGGTTCATCATCGTTCTTTTCGTTTTGCGCCATTGATAAATACATGTTGCATCATGCTAGATGTTTGTTTTAGTACGAAGTTGATACATGTAACAGGTTTGTAACCAGTTTGGGCACTGGGTTCGTACTTAGTAAATTCAGAACATATTAAAAATATAAACAACATCGGATAAACTAACGCTACAATCACGAGATAAAAATCGGTTCATTCTATTATCTATACAATAATTCAGTTTATTGAGGATAGCTTTGTAAGGGCTTGCATCCAAAACGATTTAGAAGTTAGAATTTTGGTAAATAGAATTTTGCTAAATTTTGGCTGTACATGTATATAGTTTATGAGATCAAGAATTGGTGATGATGGTTGATTTTGTTGCTGATTTACTTGTTGGTTGATTCATAATTTAGGATAAAGCGAAAGTTTCAATTCGAAAGAAAAAACAAACGAAAGTGTCTTGTTAACCGGGCTTATATTCATTCTTGTTAATGCGATACCCCCTGACTGTGGCATAAACATTCTCAAAAAATTGCCGTATATTCCCGAGTGTCATGCATATTACCTACCGTATATGTACAAGTATTTAATTTATTATCGTCTGTGATTCGTTCATCTTCGTTGTTGATTATCTACCATTTATATTCCGTGATGTCCTATGACCTTGATATGATCTCAAAATTGAGACATATGACCTTATACATGCACAACCTAATTCTATTATAAATTTCGTATGACTTATGACCAAAGTCATATGAACAATGGCTTTATGAACAATGAAATTGTTTATATTAACGTTAGCTTTAACGGGGTTAACCGGTTAAAATTTTCTTTTGTGGTTAACCGGTACAAAGTCCAAATATGGTGATTGTTTCAGAATGTTAAAGACCGACTTTTAAGATCAGGTTTTAGGTTTGGATCGGGTATGAGAAAAATTTTACTTGTAAATTCATCATCCGATCCTATCCGTTTTGTGATTACAGTATCTGCATCTTTATTCATTCCGATTCATTACGTTAATTTATTCACGAGATCTGTGATGTGTATGATCAATGCATGATGTTTTTTTACGTGTCAAGTTGTGCGTTTGTTAATTTTGTTATACTGGATACGCTATTGTCGTTAAGATATCATGCTCAAAAAATTGCAGTACTATAACAAAAAATAATAAAGGTTAAAAAGTATTATTTGACTACAATTACTCGGATATTATTTAATGTGTTCTCCACCAATTGTGTGAACATTTTTTGTTCTGTCTTTTTAACCGTACATGTAATACTTTCCATAATTCCTAATTAGAAAAATCACAGGATTTCATTTCTATGTTTCGTAGCATCAAGTGGGAAATAAATTCGAAATTAAACCCAGGATTTATTATTAATATAAAATATTGAATTTAGCTTATAAAAAGTGATAAAACATTTAGTAAACATCAATACGTAGTTTGCGGACATCGACGTTGAAATTTAGCGATAGTCGAAATTGATATTAACGTTAAAAAATGACGAAATTGACGTCAAAAAATGGCGTGGGATTAATGCTGCATGACAAACGCATCGTTGAAAATTATCACGTCATAATGTTACTATATTTACAAGTTGATTCTTATTACAGTAACAATTTTTACTGTTATAATATGATAACATTTATTAGCGTTTAAAAAGTCATGTCCCTAACTCCGGATCTCCTGGAATAACGTGTAGATATTCTAGTAATTTGTGGATTTTGCCATTACTTTCTTTTTCCTCTATAATATGTGTATATTTAAATGAATATTGAGAGTTTAGTAGATATGTACGTGTTTCTAGTGCAAAAATATCATTTCATAGAAGTTATGGTGCAACGAATTGTTTTTGAATAAATTTGACGACTTTGAACCACGAATTTAAAATAAGTTACAAAAATTTAACTGATCTTTTAAATAGAACAAAAATGCGTCCATTATTAAGTAGACAAAAAAAACAAGAAACGTCAGAAACAAACCAAAAATTTTCCGAATCTAATACAAAAATGACGCTACTAGACACCAATGAACCAATCTTTCAAGACTTACATGACCGATTCACAGGGAAGCTACGGTGACTGGCATATTAAAAATCGAAATGCCGGAAAAAATAATAAAACGGCATCAAAAGCTTGCAGCGAAAATGGCGAAAAAACATAATACAGAACCACAGACAATCACACATTCAATGTTTCATGGAACAACATATTGTTGTGATCCAATTACAATGTTAAGAACTAAAGCTGAACTATGTGAAAATAAAGAGTGTGCAATGTGTAAAATCCTTAGAAAGGGAAATAAAATGCGTAAAGTCAGAAATCGATGGTGGTGGTGGAAGAAGTCGGGGATTATGTCGTCGAATGACCCGGCGAATTCATTAACTTCTTCCTTGAAGCAACGAAACCATCAGCCATATATTATGTTTGTTTTGGATGTGCTTTCCCCTTTATCAGGCTATAAACTCAAAACTCTTAACAACGCAGTTAAGTTTTCTTATTTGCTAGTTGACATCAGATTCATATTTTTGTTTCTTGCTAAGATTAAAATTGACATTTTCGCAGGCTACAATACCGAAATATTTGATCATATTTGAATACATAGATCCTAATGAACATATTGCAAAACGAATTTTAGAACTTTCTGAAAACTATTAAGAACAATTAATTATCTTTCTTTTAATCAATGTTAAATTACTTGAAAATTCAGGGAATCTGACATTTTTTGTTAATGAGCAAAATTGTTGCGTTTAAATATAATTTCTAGATTCTGTCCACAATTTTATATTACTCAATTTATTGCCGGCAAGCTGTATAAATATTTATAGAGACCAGTTTCTTTCTCAATTATTCATTAAAATTTTTTGCAAGCCTTAGATAAAGAGAGAAAAAGTTTTGATGAGTTAGTTACTGGTCGACCAAATTAGGGGCCTAGTTAATTAATAGAAAATAAGATGAATGTTAGTTAAATGCAAATAGAATAATACACGAGAAAATGACAGAAAATATAATAGTCTAAAAGACTAATAATTAATAAAAATCAATTGATTTTGTATATACAGTCAGACCTCTCTAAATGCAACTTGCTCGGACTAACTTTTTGACACCGTGCATTTAGAGAAAAATAAGAAACATTGCACTTATGGAGGTTAAGATATATATTTGGGCCGGAGTTTGAGCTTGCATTAAGAGAGATATGTATTTAGGGAGGTCTTAGAAAAATTCAAAAACTGAAAAAAATATATATGTTAAACTAAAGTATGCTAGGTTATAAATATTGAGATTAAGAAATCTTTTATTAATTTATACTATATTTATATTATTTAATAGATTCATATTTACTTTTTTTAAATAGCATAAGAGAGGTATTTGAGAGAAGTTTCATGAATTAAATCTTTTTGATGAAAGCTTTTTTTTGTTCTTTTTTAATTTTTAATTATAATTATATATATATATATTAAAATTTGTAGGTATAATATAAAAGAATATAATTTTTTGTATTTTTGCTATGCTTTTTCTAATTTTTATATTTAAAAGGCTAATTTTTGTATATTATAGGAGGTAATGATTAGATAAGTTAAAATATAATTACTTTAAATCTTATTTTTTTGTAATTTAAACAGAAAAAAATATTAATATTTCTGAAAAAGAGAAATTAATATATATTATCTTTAATTTTGATAGTTTATAATACAAAAATCTAAATTATTAGCAGATTTACTTATTAATCTAAAAGAGACTATAATAAATTCAAGAATATATTATTATTAAAGATAACTAGAAAAATACTTGAAAATTTAAATTAATTTGAAAAAGAAAATTTATTTAATTTAGAATAGTTATAAATTAATTATTATTCAAGTTGCTTGTAAAAGTAATCTTTTAATGATTATTAATTCATCTTTTAACCAGAAAAAATATCTTACTTTTCTATAATAAGTATCTAATAATCTTATAAATTTATAATTTTTACTTTTTAATATTAATATTTCATATATTATTTCTTTATTAGTTCTATATTTTTTGATATATTAGATTTATTTGGAGAGAATATCGAAATTAAGAAATTCTAAAATAGTTTAAAAATTAAATAATCAAAAAATAAGATTTAAAAATTTAAAAATTATTTATCAAAATTAAAAAAGAGATTAAATATTAAATATAAGCAGATAGTATAAGTATCTCATTGAATTATTTATCAAGTTGTTACATAGTTAAAGTACAAATAGATCACTCAGTTTAAAATTCAGATTAATTAACTATATATAAGAAAAGTTATACACAAATATTAAATTCTTGCATTATAATCAAGAAATGATGCAAGATGCAAGATAATTCCAAGATATTGATGAATAGAAAGAAAAGCTATCATATGATTTATTTAATAAGTTCAAAAAGATAAATATGAGAATTTTTATTTCATATTATTTGTTTAATGTAACTTATACTTGAGGTTCTGGAAAATAATTAATGATTTAATCACAGAAATTGAATTATATAATCAAAGAATATTCAAAAATTAATATTATATAATGACTTATCCAAATATAATGAGTTGATTGTATTATTCATACGCTGACTCATTATAGTGAGTTGATTGATTTATTAGTTATTATTAATTTTTTTGCATAAGTGCATATGAAGCGATTGGATAGCATTTTCTCAGAAATCATCTTCTAACAACAGCTTGATAAACATGATGACGAAAGGGATCTTGACCTATAGCAGGAATTGATCTATGATGAGCAGTGTTAACCTATGACCTTAATATGCTATAACCTTGATATGACCTCAAAATTGAGTCATATAACCTCAAATTTATTATAAATTTCATATGGCTTATGAATATGAAATTAGCCAACACTGATGAGTATCAGCAATTCATTTCTATCGCTATTTATATTTGGGAAATTTGTGATTTATTGAAGCATAATCTTTTGAATATTCAAGGGGAGAAATTCAAAATCTCGCATCGGCTCTTATCGTAAATTTAGGTATGAAATTGACTGATAGATCTCTCATTGACAAAAGTATGATTTTAGAATTGCAACTAATGGGTTTGAAGTGATTACTTAGATTCGGCGATTTGCCTGCCGCGTGCAAAGCGAAGAAATAGGTGATAAGGTCGATCTGGTGAGGATTGGTATAATTCTAAAAAATGCTAACTATGAAAATACAGCTTTTCTTGATGGTCCATTTCAGGCTTATATATCTTTTATATATTCTCTGTATGTTAGAATCTCTGTTATAACGTCTACTCTATGGATTGGGACGAAAGAATCAAAACGTTGAATAATGTGAGTCACTCGTTCATTTATATTATTTGGATTCTACTGCTACCGATTGAAGTTCGTTTCCCCTATCTGCAGCTTCTGGAAAGTTTCTTTAAATAATAATTTTCTTTCTATAGTCAACTTCAAGCATGTTTAATCAACTCGGAATGATTTATGACATTAAGGCGTCACGATTATATAGAACAAGGCGGAGCTCTGTTTTCCTAAACTATATGCGGTTGTGACGTAAGGACGCATAAAATGAATACGCGTTCGGAAAGATATTTGAAACCTAATTTTCTGGTTCAAAGATTTTGAATTCGAACTCAAAAACAACCCAAATTTGAATTAAACTTTTTTTTTTCAGAATATTAGGAAAATATCAACTGCATTGAATCTATAAAATGAAAAAATATCTTGAAATATTCAAAAGTTGTATTGATTATCACGTCAGAGTTTTTATATAGTGGCGTTATGGCTTAAACCATAAATCACATAATTCCCAGCATAGAAATCGTTGTTAAATTCGGATTCATATGAAAGTCCCTATCGCTATGTAGCGTAGCTGGAAAAAATTTCGCAAGATCAATATGTAACGATAAAAATCAAAACAATCATATCTTGTGGTTTGATTGGTTTCTTAAACAATTACAAAGTTTAAGATTTCAACTTTCTAAAAAGCTATTTAACGATGCAACTTGGTGTATAGAGATGACATCAATCTGCATTATCGCCTATCGCTATTTTAAAATTCCGAAATTAACAAAAAGTCATTAATTAAAAAAACAGGCGTACTTTCAGCATCTTCCAATACTGACTTTTCTGATTCGTCAATTTTGAAAAAATGAAGCTCTTAGAAAATAGTAATATGGAGGAAAAAAAGAGAAAACGACCAATTGACTCAGAAACATATTCACAAGACAATAAAAAGCGGTCAACAAATGATGTCGTAAATGAGCAAATAGATTGGAAATTGATAACAACAAATATAAATTTAATTAATTTGGGTCAATTACAAATCAATTTAGCACCGTATTCTTCATTTATCACATACACAACTGAAAATCAAATCGAAATCATGAACCAGCAGCAAACAGACATAGAAAAACTAAATGAAGACGGAACAATCAAAGATGAACAAAAAGCATTTGAATGGTATTTGAAATCGGCAGAGTCTGGAGATTCTAATGCACAATATAACCTTGCTCTCTGCTATAAAAATGGTATAGGAACAATCAAAGATGAACAAAAAGCATTTGAATGGTATTTGAAATCGGCAGAGTCTGGAGATTCTAATGCACAATATAACCTTGCTCTCTGCTATAAAAATGGTATAGGAACAATCAAAGATGAACAAAAAGCATTTGAATGGTATTTGAAATCGGCAGAGTCTGGAGATTCTAATGCACAATATAACCTTGCTCTCTGCTATAAAAATGGTATAGGAACAATCAAAGATGAACAAAAAGCATTTGAATGGTATTTGAAATCGGCAGAGTCTGGAGATTCT